CTTGCCTGGAGGAAGAGCTCCCCAAGGAAGGCATGCAGGCCATCTCCAATCTCATTGCCAAGCTGGGTGAGAAGCCCTGGCTGCCCCGCGTCCCCACGCAGTTTCACAAGCAGCCCGCTGGCAGTGACCTGATCATCGCGTGCCCGGGAGCCCGCCCGGAGCACGCCGTGGCCTGGGACAAAGAGAGCGTCCGGCTCTACCGCTCCCGCTACCTCATCGGTGTCAACAGGAGCATGCGGGTCTTCATCGACCACGGAAACCACCTGCACATCCAGCGGGTCCAGGTCAGCGACAGGGGCACCTACTTCTGCTGGCGGGAGGGCAGGATGGTGGCCGGCTTCCGGCTCAGTGTGATCTACCAGCACCGGCGTGGGCGGACGCTCAACGATCCCGAGACGATCTACGCCGCCAAGGCCATCGGCATGAGTTACGTCATCATCAGCATCATCTTCATTGTCATCCACATGTGCCGCTGCTGCCCACGGGCGTTCAGGTGCCTGGCCAGGATGTAGCATCCCCACCACGGCCCCCATGGGTCACTCCTATACCTCAGACCATCTTCCCAGTAGAAATTTCCAATGTTCTCATCGTTGGAAATCAAACCCTCGCCAGTGCCCACTCATCCTCCCTTTTGGGTCAAGAGTGTGACAACAAGGACCGCTGTGGAAAACTCTCCGTGCGGAAGATTGGACGGCTCGGTGGGGACAGGCAGGGATTTCTCACCGTCGCCGTTGGTTCCCGACCCTGCTGCTGGCTCGTGGTGGGGGTTGGGGCTCAGTATAGGCCTTTTTAAAAGAAGGACTATTTGCGAAGGACTTGGCTTGGAGCTGTGGCAGGAATTTCTGGCCAAGCTCAGCAGAGTCCTCGAACCACATCCGTGATTTATTAGAGCTGTTTTTCTAAGAGGCTGCTAAAAAGATCCACCGAACTATTTGAATCCAATTAATTCTTGCTTTTGTTACCCTTTTTTTTTTTTAACTTGTTTTCGTTGCTGAGAACTTTGAGTGCCAATGTTGCAAAATGTTCACTGTTCCTTTGAGCTCCTTAGCTGGAGCAAACCCATTATTTTAAATTTTGGATTAAAATTTCCTCATTTTTGAAGGAAAAAAAGTAATTCATATTACCCTAGTGATTTTTTTCTGAAATTTCGCTGGTTTTTGGTCAGTGTTTTTGGCTCACCCCACTCAGCACTGGCTTGTGAGTCAATATTTATGCCTGACAGAATCATTACGCGTGTCCTCCAAAGAGAATGGCATCTCTGCAGTGTGTAGGTGACCACTTGCTTGCTCCTCAGCATGGAGAAGGAATTCCCTATGGGGCTCATCTCTGCTCCTTTCAAGGATGTGACTTGAGGATTTCAGCTTTCCCAAGAGAAATCCCGCTGTCCAGGAGGGAAGCCTTGAGGGTCCCAGCGACACTCAGCCGTTGAACCATGGAGATGATGTACCAGATCTCAAATCCCCCAACAGTCCTGACCCCGGAGCTCCCCAGGAGCTCCAGACGGGGTTTGTGTGGGGAAGGAGCTGGGTTTGAGGTTGAAGAACTCCGAGCAGATCCCTGCTTCTCCTCCCTCAATCCCGGGAAGGGGATCTCTCCCACCCCACCGCCTGGATGCAGCCCCTTATGGATGTTGACCCACGAAGCCTTGGCCATGCCTTGGTGTTCAGCACTGAGCTCTTCCAGCGAGTTTGAGCTCCTGAAGGGCTTCCCCACCCCAGCTAATCCCAAAGAACCCGCAGCACTGGTCACGGAGAGGCAGATCGCAGGCACGACCATGGAAGGATGGCGCTTACGTTTTAGCTTTATTTCTCATCTCAAGCTGCCGCGGGCGTTAGGGGGTTAATTCAGTAGCGACGTGGGCTGCAAAGTTCCAGCTGGAGGCTGCTCCTGGCGGGCAGAGTCCCCCCCCACCGGAGCCACCGCCATCCCACCCTGGATGCCAGACCTGGACAGCATCCAGGTCTCCTATAACATCTCCTGCCCCTGGGAATGGCATTTCTGGAGTCGGTACCTGCAGAGTGCTCAGCTCCTAAGCCAGGGGCCAAGGGGGGACAGAGGGGACAAGGGGGGGTGGCATCCAAGTGACATCCTGAGTGGCATCCCGTGTCC